ATTCACATTATTGAGAGAACTGATAGGTAAGGTAGATTACTGTTCATTCTGTTGGGTTGGATGTGTTTGATGATTTCTGTCTTGAGCCATTGTATATCTGCTTTAATCTTTGGGTTTTGGTTGTTTATATTCGTTGGGTTATTATTATGATGTTCCGTGCATAACGCTGTTTAAGTACTCTTGTAGGGCTGGTCTTGTCTTGGTGAATTCTCTGAGCCTTTGCTTGTTGAGAATGTCTTATTGCTCCTTCATAACGAAGCTTAGTTTTGCAGGAATAAGAATTTAGCTGGCATTGTTTTGGTTTCAAAAGAGTGAGAATGGGGCCCCAGTCTCTCCTTGTGTAAAGTCTCATTAGAGAAGTCTGGTTTATTCGAATTGGCTTTCCCGTTGAATGTTACTTGTTCTTTCGTCTTATAGCTCTTAGAAGGGCCTCTTTAGTTGATATTTTCGTCTGATGACTGCATGTTGTGACGTCTTCTTGTTTGCATTGAATTCTCCAGGGTCCTCTGAGCTTCTGAAGCTTGTATATCGAGATTTGAGAAGGCCTGGGAAATTTTCCTCTATTATATCTTCAAATAGCTTGTCCAACCCTGAGTGTTGTCTTCTTCCCTTCTGTAACCGTATGACCTCACATTAGGTTTCTTCACATAATCCCACATCTCTTGTAGGCTTTGCTCTTTTCTCTTGTTTCTCTGCTCTATTTCTGTGACTGATTTATTTAGTTGAAGGGTGTTATCTTCATGCTCTGAGATTCTTTCTTCTGTTTGATATACCCTGTTCTTGAGACTTTCATGTATTTTGTAGTTCCTGAATTGATTCTTCATTTCTAGTGAGTTCGGTTACACTTTTCTTCATTGTGTCTATTTCTTTAGTGAACTTTTTTTCCAGATCCTGGAGGCTTTTTGTGGTTTCTTTGTGTTGGTTATTGAGTTGTTGTTGCAGGTCGGTGAGTGTTCTTATGATCCACATATGAAATTCCTCTTCTGTCATTTTGGTTGACTGATTTTGGTTGGTGCCCGTTTCTAGGGGGCTGGGGCTCCTCTTTGGGGTGTGTTTTCCGCTTGGTTCTTCATATTTCCTGAGTTCCTTCGCTGATTTCTTCCCATGTCGATCAGTTGTTGTTTCTTTTCTTTAGTTTTTTGTTTGGGTATTCACACGCCTTCTTTAGTTTCTGAGCCGGTAGGTGGTGTCTGTGGGTGAGATTCGACCACTCCCTGTATAATGAGTCAGTAGGTGTTGTGAAAAGGGTGTGCAGGATGCTCTCCCTGTCAGTAGGTGGCGCTTGCTTGGAGGAACAGGCTATGCTGTTACTTTTATGTCCTGTTATCAGCTCTTGTTCCTGTAGAGAGAACTCTAGTGCCTCAGGTGGTGGGTGGGGCCCTGGGACTTGCAGGTGTATCCTTTTCTCCCCTTCAGTGAGGGCTAGTCTAGGAAAGAGTCTGGGTGGAGCTGGGTTGGGTAAGCCTCCCCTCAGGCACCACCAATGTCATTAGCAGGGGTCAAAGTTCTGTTCTCTGCTTCCAGGCAAAGCTGACAGGGAGGGGCTGGAATGGCCCGGCTCAGAGAGTCAGCATGTGGGGGTGGGGCTGTCTGAGACCCGCAGTCTGGAGCGGGCCTCGCTTCTTTTCACCCTCCCCAACTATGCAGCTATTCCTGGGCCTCTGCCAGCAGGCCAGACCACACGCTACCAGGCCTCCCCTAGCTGTGCTGCTGGCGGGGAGGTTCCCTGCACAGGAATGCCACCTCCGCTAGGCGCACAGCCTCCCTTTGGGGGGAGGGTTGCCCTCTAGGATGCTGATCTGCCCCTGAAGGCACACACACCTCAGTAGGCTGTTTACAAATATCCCTTCTGTGCCCCAGGCAATGCGAGGCCTCAGTGCACGGGATGTGGTCTGCAGGTCTGACCTCTAGGTCCCAGAGTTCACACTATATCCCCACCAGGGAGAGGAGTGCCAGTCCCAGTTCACTCACAGGGAGCCCACGCTGGGTGTCTCTCAACCTCAGGGTCTGCCCCATTCTCCTGGGATCACCTGCCACCAGCACCTGGGAGGGCTGGCGGGTAGGGAGCTCACAGTATGAGTTCCCCTTAGTCAGCTGTAGGGTCCCAAAAGGGAAGGTCCCGTTCCCTAGAAGTGCCTCCGGCTGGTGGCTATATTGTCTCTCTGGGCAGCCACGGGTAGGGTTGGGGGAGGGGAGGAGGAGGCAATATGGCAATATGGTGCAGCTGGCGTCTGTGCACCTGGAGGTGCCCCGAGGGAGTTGCGAGCCTGGTGCCGCAGCCGCTACTGGCTTACCGCTCACTGGCGGCGGCCATCTCTGGGCTGGTGTCCGCAGGTCTCTCCACCTGCTGGGGAACCCACCAGCAGTCCAGGATGCAGGGGAGGAGAAACAGCCGAACCACCTACACTTCCCGCTGGTCTCTGAGCTGCTCCAGCTTCCAGTTCTTCTCCGTGACCTCCTCCTGTGGAGTCTCCCATGGTCTCAGGTACTCCTTCTTCCGATCCTCATCTGATGTAGGCTCGTCTTCTTGCTTCTTTCTTCTAATTTCTGCTAGAATCTGTCTTTTCTGCAGAGACACACTGTTTGGCGGTGTTTCTCGTCCGCCATCTTCTCTGGATCTCTAGATTTTTGTTCTTTAATTTTAAAAAGTGTCCTATCTTTTTTTTTTTTTTTGAAATAGTTTCAGGTAATATTTTAAATAGACACAGCAGTAAGTAAAAATAATTATTAGGAATTCTAACTTTTTCAAAACTGAAGACCTGTTAAACTTGATTAAAAGGCATGACAAAAACCACTGAGTTACAGAGTATTTTACTAAGAGACAGAACCACTGATATCTGGGCACAGAAAGCTTTTTAACTCTTCTCTTTTTTATTCTTTGTTTTTGTTAGGAGCATTCCATATACTCAAGGATCAATTTATTATTTTCACAAGAGACTCAAATTCTTACTTTATTCTTTTTGGTTACCATCCATGTAGCAATTTGCAGTAAATGATACATAAGCCTTTTTCATTTTATAAATAAACCAATTATCACTGGGCCAATTTTGAAACTTTTTTTTTTTTTTTTGCTCCTTTCAAACTCACTATATTTCAGGCATTACAAGACCAGGCCAATAATTTTATTTTTTCTTCCTGTCTACATTTGTGATACACCTTCAAGTTATCTTCTATTGCCTTCTTTCATGGTCTGACATAACCAGATTTTATTTAAAACAAAACAAAAAACTATCCTATCTTTTATTTCTCTTGAGGCTTTATCTATTGTGTTTATTTGCTTTTGTGTTTTTTCCTATTTTAGTCTACATTTCTGATTTTATATCTAATTCTTGAGTTCTGTCACCTTTTTACAAATCTTCCTTTATCTCTAATCACCATATTTCTGAGTTTTTCTAATTCTGCTTTACATTGTTCTTTCATAGCATTTTCATTTTCTAAATTTCCTCCAGTTCATTCTGGAATCTTAGACTACTGTCTGTGGGCATGTCTCTGGCTGATTCCACTGCCTCCAGGGATCTTACTCCGACCACCCTTATTATCTCTTCCTCACAGTAACTTGCATGAGAGTTGACTGAATCCTATCTTTTGCTCATGTTTAAGTCAAATAAAATTTCCTATGCTTTTAGGAGGAGGAGGAGGTAGGTCACAATTGCTTTTGTAGCTTCATGGCTCCAGAATTCTCTCTCCTGTTGTTTTCCCCGAAGTGACACAAAGCATGTGGCATGCTGTCAGATCTTGCACTTCTGCCCGTCTACCCCGACTTTTGGGTGGATCTTTTCTTTCCTTTGTCCCCTTATCTGTATTGCTGAAACAGAACTCTGTGCCCAGCGGTTTCCCCTCAGTGTGGGCTCATGGAATGGAGCTTCAGTTTACTTCCAAGAGGTTGCATGGCTCAGATGGCTCCACCATCACAGAACTCTGGCACATTCACAGGCCTTTCACGTCCAGCTACGAACCGCATCCCGCATCACCCTCTTCTCAGTTTGGGTTGCTGTTCTCAAACTGGCCTGCATGCTCCACAAAATGCTATCCTCAGAGCTGGTGGAATCCCAGTTAGCCTTCCAATTCCTTCCACACAACTGTTGACACCGAGGGTCCTGATTCATGGTGTGCCCCACCTGCTCATATCTGGGGGCTCACAGGGTAACCTGTCACCTACTTTTGCTGTGGATATTGACTGTGCAGTCTTCAGTTTTACTATCCAAGTGGCTCAGTTTTATAGTGGGATTCCAGTAGACTAAAAAACTACACCACGCCATTTTCGCAGAATCCGCTATAATTCACTCTTTTTGGTAATTTACATACTTTTAGCTTTCCATGCAATTTTAAACTTAACACATTTTATTTCTATCTGTCTTTGTTCCTCAAAATGTCTTTTATATTCAACAGTTTGAATTCTATATAGATACCTTTCATACTCACCCATCTCTTTTTTTAACTTTTTTTTTGTATGTTATGTAGTACTGATGGGATCTTCTCATCTTCTTTAACTTTTTAAAATTCATTTTTAATCATTATAGGTATATAATAGTTGTACATCTTTATAGGGTACACTGTGATGTTCTGATACAGGCATATACAATGTGTATGAATCAAATCAGGGTAACTGGGGTCTTCATCGCCTCAGGCATTTAACACTGGTGTTAGAAACATTCCAATTCCAGTTTTTCAGTTATTTTAAAGTATACCCTAACTTATTGTTGATTGCAGTCAATTCGTTGTGCTATCAAATACTGTTCACTCTAACTATCTAACTATATTATTGCACCCATTAACCAACTGACTTAACCTCCCCCCTTCCCTACTATTCTTCTATTTCTTAATGCCACTAAATTGATGTGCTCCAAATTTTTATCTTCCCCTCTTCTTAAAAGCCTAAATTAACTAGATTTCAGGAAAATTTCAGAACACCTTAGCAAAATTAAAACTGACAAAAATCCCATCTAAAAATATTAAAAATAATATTCAATAATGACAAAATTTACTCAGTTAAAAACTACCTTATATCAACAAGAGAGCATTCCAAAGATAATCTTCCCACTGTCTTTAGATTTTCTTGAAGTTCTCTTAAACAGTTAATATTCACTACTAGTTGAACACCCACGTCATACAGCAAGACCTAAGAAAACAATAACTTTAAGTCTGTGAAAGACAACACTTCAAAATATTTTTTTGTAAACTGCAAAACATAATAAAAATTGTATTAAGTAACTCCAGGAAAAACAAAATGCATTCACTTTCACAATTATACTTTTAACTCTGCAATTTACCTCTACCAATGTGTCTGTAACCATTCTGATGATCTGGCCTCTTCGCCACTGATTCTTATCTGGGATCCTAACAGCACAGTGCATATCATTTTCCCATTTAAGAGGTTCCCATTTTGAGTTTTCATAAGCAGCTATCATCTTTTCTTCTAAACTATATAAAGAAAAAAAAAAGATTTAACTTTTTAAACCTTTTCTTATAATTGTCTGACTACATGTTTTCTACTCTCACCACTTGCTCATTCCACCCCAGCCACACAGGACACCTTGTTCTCCCTTGTGTAGACCAAGCACGTTTCTACCTCTGGCCTTGCATGAGCTCTTCCCTGCCTGTGATACGCTTCCCTCAGATACCCATGCGGCTACTTCCCTCCTTCCTCAGGGCACATTTCAAATGTCACTGTCTCTGTGAGGTCTTCCCTTCCTTCCTCCCCCCACCCCTGCTCTCTTCCTCAGCTGTCCTGCTCAATCTCAGGCCCCTTATTTTCTACTGCCCTTATCACTATCTGCCACACTAAAAGTTTTATTTGTTCATTGTCTTTCCCTCTACTAGAATTTAAGCTCCATGACAGCAAAGCTGTCTCCATGTTTTTACTATTATATCCCTGACACCTAGAATACTAGTTTGTCATATGGTAGGTGCTCAGTAAGTATATGTGGAATTAATAAATTCTAGTATAATGAAAATAACTAACGTAGATACCATTTTATACTTCTAGTTTAGAGAGTATTCATTTAAAATAATTTTGCTTTTAAAATGTTATATTTGTGACTTCTAGATATTTGAAACAAAATATAAAAACAATAAAATCATATGCAATAAGTTTTCCTTATACATTATACCTATTAAGTAAGTTTTCTGTTAGTAACCACTGAACATAAATCTTCTCAGGAGATATTACATTACAGATATGCACAGGCAGTTCCTTATTATAAAGTGATTGGAAATTCTCATTAGGTAGAGATTTTGTAGACACAGCATTTGAGTTGTTTAACTCATTTGAGATAATTTCTTCTGGAGAAGGATCCCATACTTCAATATGCTTTTTAGAATTATCTTTCAGTGTATATCTGAAAAATAACAAAAATAAACAAGAATAATAATATGCAAAATGTTTATGTTTGTATTTGCTCAGCTCTGTATCTTGACTGTGATGTTACATGACTATACATTTGTCAAAATTCACTCAACTATGCACTTAAAAAGTGTGAATTTTTACTGTGTATGTTATACCTCAATAACCCTATCTTTATGAAGAAAAGATAAGATTCAGTCCAATGTAGTTTAAAAGTTTACTCTCATTTCTTTCTCTTCCCTCCTTCGAGACCTACAGTCCCCCCTCCTTCTGCTTCTAGGTACTCCAGTTTTACGGTGGGGGTGGAAGGTCAGCCACAGACATTAACACCAGTTGTCACTGCAGGCCTCTGGACGGTGTCACTGCATCTCTGGCTCATGCTGACAGGCCTCACAAGTGGGTGCTATCAAAATACTGCCCTTCTTGGGGGCTTTATGTGGGAGTTCTGCAGAAGACCCCCCCAGGGGTCACCCCCACTGCACAAGTCCCTGTTGTGGAAGAATTCTTTGTTTTCACCTCAAACCCTTCCAACCTGTCTTCACCACCACTCTGCCCTTCTGCTTCTGGGGTCGCCTTAACCACCAGCCTGTCCTGGCTAGGTATCAGCACACTGGCTCAAGCCTGGTTACCTTTCAAACTACCCACTTGAACCCAGGAAAATTCACATTTCTACAAATGAAAATGTAAGCTCCTCTACCACTACACTTACTCTCTATCTTGCCCTTTCTCTTCCCAATTCCCTTCTCAAACAGGCACAAGGGGGCTGCCTAAGCAGATGTGCCACCTGGAAATAAGATGCCAATCTCTGTTTCTTAGAAGCACCCTTGAACTCTAGGAGCCTTTCTCTTGGTTTCTGGGTTCCTCAAGGATGAAGGCAAAAGCCACTCTACTCCTCATTAGACAAATGACTCCAATTATTTTCTATTTTTTCTGACCCGGGAACAGGGAAGATTCGCAAGAGTATAGCCTAAGCAGATATCCAATGGGGAATGACACGACAGTTTCCCTTCTTGTGATTAAAATGTTACACATGAAATGAAAATGAAAGTTTACACATCTACTCACCCTTCTTCATAAGATGCGAGGCCCTCATTAACAAGCTGGTCATTAATACTAGTAGGAGTCATTCCAGGAGCACCAAGAGAATCAAAAAGCTCAACTAAGAGCACATTGTCTTCCAGAATTTCTGTAAAACCATTAAGACTAGTTTGGGTAAAGAAATAAATATGTCACAAAATACACTAAATGGGCAAATTTTTAAAAAATGGGAAACTTTAATTTCTTTCATTTTGCATATGAGAATTCTTGCTGAATCATGTCATAGTCATTCTCTAAGAATTAAAGTAGCACTTTGGAGCTATAAATGAATTGTCAATGTTATCTGTAGCATATACAAATCAGTAAACATTTTATTTTAGGTTACTGTGTACTGTTTGTTCCATAATGAACCAAAATTATACTCAGAAAAGTACAAATTAACATATCCATTGAAGAAGTGTTCTGTTATGTTCTTAAACTGTTTTATGGAATTCAACCAAGTTCCAGGAGGACAAAAGTAAATGAAATTTAATTCAGGCCAGTGATTAGTTACAAAGGTTTACAGCTTTTATAAGAATGGCACAATGTTTAAAACAATAAAAAAACTAGAACCCTCAATTAACCGAAATTTTCTTCTATATATATGTTTTTTAGGACAAACCATATAACTTTAATTCTTTTTGTTTATCAGATCTAATTCTTAAACTAGACTGGGACTTAACAGAGGATAAAGTTTATATCTCATGTGCCTATTTACTTACTTACAGTAAATAGCATAGAGAACCTGCTCAATAAGTAACTGAACATGTGATAAACAGAGGAATTTCTTTAGAAAATACCTCAAAAATATGTACTGAGATCAGTATATACCCACACTTTCCACAAAAATAGCTGGTAGCTGCTAGTCAGAATGATGATTCTAAATAAAAAGATAACCATTACCAGCAGTAACATCCTATATTACCCAGTTATAAGTGTACATATTGCAAAGCTTTTTTCAAGAGTTGAAAAAAAAAAAAACATTCCCAGCTACTTCTCAATGGCCCAGATAAATAATTTGTAAACAAAAGGCTAAGCAGTGCTGAGCCTCAACAAATTTTGATCTACTTTTCCATCTCGTGTATTAACTTTAGTTCTTTCATTTCATATCTCTCATGCATAAGGTTCTTTACTCCCAAGGGCCAGCTTTCCTTGTGTTCTTTACCTTTATCATTTCACTGCTCTGCTCTTGATAAAATATAAACATCCCTTGCTTTTAAGGTAACAATATGTACTATTTCTCATGGGTTGTAGTTCACTTTATTAAAATGGTCTTGAACTCTCCATCTTACTGCTGTGCAGGTAAATGGGGAAAGACAGTTTTGGCTGGGCAGCACCTTCTGGAACTCCCTAAATCCAATCACCTAGGTTAATGACTACAGTACAACTAGCGTTTGGATGTCATTGGTATGACAAATAATTAAGTGAGAAAGAATGAAGAGGAATCAAGAAAGAAACCCAGGAAATCAGGTCTTGATGGACTGTCCAGAGGAGGACATTCAAGGACAGAGCTAAAACTCAACAGAATATAATGCCCAAAGGAAAGCTGGAAAGCAGTTAAACAGGTTAAAGTTGGCTCAAAAACCAGTGAAGGCTGCTCAAGAACTAGGAGGCCTTTAATTTACTGTTCATTACAAAGGAGCCAGACATAAAAATTCTATAGACTAAGGATGTAATTTTTTTTTTTTTTTTTGAGACAGAGTCTCACTCTGTTGCCCAGCTAGAGTGCCGTGGCATTAGCCTTGCCTCACAGCAACCTCAAACTCCTGGGCTCCAGTGATCCTACTGCCTCAGCCTCCCGAGTAGCTGGGACTACAGGCATGTGCCACCATGCCCGGCTAATTTTTTATATATATTTTTAGTTGTCCAGCTAATTTCTATTTTTAGTAGAGACGGGGTCTCGCTCTTGCTCAGGCTGGTCTTGAACTCCTGAGCTCAAACGATCCGCCTACCTCAGCCTCCCAGAGTGCCAGCATTATAGGTATGAGCCACTGCGCCTGGCCTACAGATGTAATTTTTATAATCACATTCCTCTTCAATGAAAATACTTCAAAAAATTTCTTGTTCTGAAGTAAATTATCATAGATACATTCTCATTTCTAGATTATGTGACTTTGAGCAGTTTATCTCTAAACTCCAGTTTCCTCACAGTAAATAGGCTAATAATTTTATGATGGTTGGGTTCATTTAAAGGCAGTGTGATAAAAGGGAAAAAAGGATATAGTAAAAACTACCCCCGAAAGTCCTATACATAACCTTAAGTAAACATGGTCTTGTGTATCTTGCACTAGTACTCATTAAGCCCAATATGCAGCCAGTGTTTGTTATGGCTTTGGAATAGAGCAAAATATCAGATAAAAACAGATTCCCAAGCCCCCATCCAAAACCCTTGGGGCAAGATATGTTTCAGAAATTCAGAATTCTTCTAGTTGAGAAAAGCTGTGTGGTACCTATACTGCATCTGTGTGATACCCCAGCAGTCTGGGGAGCAGCTCACAAACAGCAACTGGCAGTGGAATATGTGAATATTCACTGTAAAGGAGATAAACATGACATATACCTTCATGCCAATTCAGAACAAATTTTGCTATTAGACTTTTGATTTCCAGACCTTGTTATGTTACAACATTGTGGGCTAGTGGTCAGACTGTGTTTTGGACTGAAACTGTTCCAAAAAGGGAATAATTTTTTTTTCAAAATATGCTGAAGTCTATAGTTGGATTCACTTAAGCCAAACTAGATAGAAAAAAACAAATGAAAGCTATTTACCAATTGTGTCCCATCTTCCTCACTTTCCTAAAAATTAAACCTAGGCATCCTCTGTGTCAAGGACAGGGACAGAACCCTAGCAAAAATGCAAACAAATAAAAGAAGCCAATTTCTGCCTTTAGGGCTTTCAAGGGGCATGTCAGGGATGATGACCTTTTATGGTAATTTTTGCCCCACGTGCTGACTTTAGACTCGGGAGCCTATAGAAGATATAATTCCACTGTACTTAACTCGCAACAAGTCCTACCTCTCACTATTACTACTGATGGCACACTAAATTTAGTCTAAGATTTGACAAATGTTATATTACCATGTTGTTCTATTTAAAATTATGTATGACATAACAAGTAAAAATGGAAATATCTTACTAATAACTGAACATGTCATAAATTTATCTTGAGTCTTTTCTTCAAATTTTTCTTTAGCTTTTTTGGACCACTGCGTTGTCCTTTTACATGGTTCAATATAGGCCAGCTTGCATTTAATTGCCTGTGTCAAACAAAATCCCACCATTAAGAAAATAAACTTAATTTCTAGTTATTTTAGAATTAAAAGAAAGTTTTTGTGTAAGGGTCTATACAAAACTAATCATTGAGTTTGATTTAATGTATATTTCAGAATAATCAAATAAATGATCAATAATCAAGTCAAATCAAATAAATCAAATAAAATAAAAGTACCTTATCAATGCAAATAACTGGAATCAGCAGAGTATTTGGCTGAATGAATTACTCCACATCATATACAGGAATAACAAGCATTTATTAAAAGAATAACTGATACTTATGATACATTAATTATGAAAAGGTTATAGGACTATTTATAGTCTGATTTTATAATTGTTAAAAACACAGAAGATGCATCTTGGAAGTGTATATACACCAAAAATACTGAACAATGACTCTGAGTGATTCTTATCTTTTGCTCATCTGTATTTTTAAGTTTTTTTCCTATGATATCTCAAATTTCTTAAAATGAAAAACAAGGCTCAGTAACAACTCAAATAATAAAAGATTACATTAATTAGAAACTGAGGCCCCTTCGTATCCTTTTCTCAGAATCCTACTCCCCAGAGATAAGGTTAAGTTTTTTACATATTCTCTCAGATTTCTCTTTCTACTGCACACATGTATCATACATACTTAAACATAAATGGGATTATAGTGAAAGTACTTCTGAGATGAACTTTAAATCAATGTCACAAATGTGAAACTCTTACCACTTTATGAGATATCTCAACATGATATATTAAAAACTGCAGACCAGGAAGTACGTATTAAGACACGAATATATATAAGTAATGTTTATAATGAATGTTTATTTGCCAACATATACATATTATTTCTTAAAGAGTAACTGTACAACATTTATCTATAGTCCTTGTATCTGAAGTTATTTACAGACAAAAATGGTGGTTAACAGAACACTTCTATGGTAAAATGACTTCTAAAAACACTTTCACATATGTGCTAATATTCTAACTCTAGAATTCATAATAAATAATTACCTTCTCTGGGGGATTCAGAAACTCATCTTTTATCTTACGCATCTCTTTAAGTGTTATTTTTGCAGTATTACCAAAGTCCACATACTTAACTTCAACTTCTCGATGTCCAGGCAATCCTTGAAAAATTATGAAATTAGAAATCATAAACTTGGAAAAGCAAGAGAATTATCTAGCAAAATTTATACTGATCTATAGTCAACTAGATTAGAATACTTTTAGGCTCAATATATAAACTTTATACTTTTTAGAAGGTAAAAATATTTTTAATATTATATATTAGATGATTCCAAAAAGTCATCCATAATGCAGACTTGGTAGAATGAGAAACTAACATTTTAAGATACCAAAAGGACAGCCAAAATCAGTCAATAAAATCTATCATATGGTAGGGAGTATAATTTAAATGTTAAGAATTAGGCTCTGAGTCAGACTGACTGCATTAGAACCGTAGCCTGGTCACTAAAATGCTTCATGATCCAAAGCAAGTTAATTAACATCTCTAAGATATTACCCTGAGCAAGTTACTTTTTCTAAGCCTCATTACTTCATCTGTAAAATGGGTATACCAATAGAACCTAGTCTCATAAGATGTTTTTAGAGGATTCACCTATTTAAAAAGCACGAGGCTCAAAGTCAACCCTTAAGAAATGTTTCCTGTCAGTCAACATAGGTGATCAAGGCAAAGATTCAATAATCAAACTAAAGATTCATTCATGTAATATGTGACATTTAACTGTGACATTCTGAAATAATGTTATATTTGGGGGATATTGCAAAAAAAAAAAAAAAAGTAGAGACAGACCTCTATGTTACTCTAGTCTCTATACTTTAAAGTTAACCTCTGGAAGGTTCACATGGAGGTTTGAATAAAGGCCTATCACACACTAACCTTTCTGAAAATACTCAAAATACATAGTTGACTTTGGCTCTTCCCAGCGCACCTATGTACATTGTTATTAAATTTGTTGCTATCATTTTCAAATTTAAAGACTAATATGGTGTATATTAGTGATTTAAATATGGAAAAGATTCTCCGTTCCTTGGCAAAAGTGGAAGAAGGTGGCACAGCATGGGTGCTCTCAAGATGACACTTCCAACAACTTAGGCCCTGTGGTGGTGGACATCTGGGATGGCCGAGAAGGCAGGTGTTGTTATAGGTGTAAGGCCAGAAGACAGGGGAACCTCTCCCTACTTCCACTGCAATCTCCCCACTAGAAGGATATTCTCAACTCTAACGATGCCATTAGATTCTTAGCCTTCCTTAAATCTCTGAATGGAGATGCAGTTTTAAACAAATAGATGGATATGGGATGGAATTTAAAGAATGTTATTGTTTTACCCAAACTGTCAATTACATATAAGAGCAGAGTCAGAAGACATGGAAGGTTTAAATTTCCCTCCCATTTATTCTCTCTGAGGAAACTACTGGAAGATGACTCCACAAAAAAGAGAACAAACTGAAAAAGTAAACATGGGGTCCAGAAAACAAGGGATCCAATACTGGGGAACAGTAAAGTATTCTTTGTCCAAGTGAAATCAATTCCCAGAATAAATGTGTAGTAATCCTAGAGGGTAAGAAGTCCAGTTGGACAAGACAGGAGGATGTTTTCATGGTTAAAAAAAGAAAATCAAACCAAAATTATCTGAGAAGTCTAATCATGTGGAAAATTGTTTTGAACTATTTAAAAAAGCCACAAATTAAAATTAAAGTGAAAATAGACAAAATTATGAACTCAAAATACAATTAAAGCATATTATGTGGCTTTACTTACACAGAGTATGAATTTAACTAAAAATTGTGATACAACTATAGTAGGGAGGGCAAGGGACAGAAAAGCTATAGACATCTAAAACTGCTGACAGAATAAGCAGTAAATAGATATTTAAAGATTGAAGCATTAACTGAAGTATTAGATATTATTAGAAGAAAAAACACAAATAAGTGTCAAAAGAAACAGCTGAAAGAACAAAAAGGAATTGCCTTCAAGGAGAGGAATGGAGTGTGAAAAGTCTTTTAGCACTATTTAACTTTTAAATGAGGCAGACATAAAACAAAAAAAGCTACTATTTACTAAACCAAGTATCATTTTCAAGGTGGAGTTCAACAGGGCCATGGAAGGCACAGGAAGACAGGCCAACTGAGTCACACATGTATCTCTATTAGCACCCCAAAAGTCACCATAGAAACTGCATCTTTCCGAAATGTAACTACTAAAAGATTACAGAGGTCTTATTGTGTACCAAATGGATGTTTTAGAGATAATAATCTTAATCTGAAAAGCAGTTGCAAAGCCCCTAGTGTCATGAAAAACGACTTTATTTGCTCCAAAGATATTTACCCAAACATAAAGTGGTATTAAAAGTGATTTTTAAATAGCAATACTAGCAATATTCATTGCTATGGTTTGAATGTTTTTGTCCCCTTCAAAATTCATGTTGGAACTTAATCCCCAAATGCAACAGTATTTAGGAGATGATTGAGTTATAAGAGTTCTTCCCTCATAAATGGGATTAGCTGCTCTTTTAAAGAGCATTGATAAAGGGATTTTGCCCCCTTTTTTGCCCTTTCACCATGTGGAGACACAGTGTCCCCTCTGGAGGATGCAGCATCAGGGCACCATCTTGGAAACAGAGAGACTAAGCCCTCAATATACTGGTGCCTTGATCTTGGTCTTCCCAGCCCCCAAAACTGTGAGAAACAAATTTCTATAGTTTATAAATTACCCAGTCTGTAGTATTTGGTTATAGCAGACCAGAGTAAGACACTGATAAGAACCACATCTAAAAATTCTTTAGATAGTCAAGTCACTAATCACTAACAGAATTAAAATCAATTATGATAAATGAGGGACAGAAAAACTTAGGTTGAAAGAATAATTTGACATAAGATACAGAATTGGTTATATATTACGAGTAACTTATAAAGATCTTAGGTTACCTTAATGGAAAAACATATTAAATAGTTTAAACTTTAAAAATTTAACTTTACCCTTTTAATAAAAAAGTACATACCTACAAACTACAAAGCATGTAAAAGGAACACAGCAGAATTGGTGAAACTGCCTATGGTCAATCTAATTCCTGAAACCACAAAAGCTTAGTGTATAACTGTTCTCTCTTAGCCAAAGCTGGAAAAATAATCACAAACTTTCCTATTTCATTGCTAGCTAGTATCTCCATTTTCATAAACCTTCTGTCTCCAATCTCACTTTTTATTTTTCCCATTATTTCATAAGTTGAATTCAATTACTTGACTCAGGGAGGATGTAGAAAAAAGATACTGGGAAAACTAGTAGCTGGGTAAGTAATTCTGAGGAATGAAGAATATAGTAAGTCAGAAGGGGAGTTGAGAGGACACAAAAGACTCCAATTTGTACCGTGGCAAACAAAATAGCATGGGACAGTCATAAACAGTCAATATGAAGCTAGAGGTCACCAATTCTTGAATAATTAACTTTGACTGCTTCATACAATCTACTAGTTTTCCAGCCAGATTCCCAATGGTTAAGTTTTAGTCAAGTCAAACACAATCTCAGGAGCCAGAGATTCACCTCCAAACATTATCACCAGCTTTCTAAAGACAGACAATGTAGCAAATGATAAAATCAAATAACATCACTTTCAAGATTTAATCTGTACCAATTCAAACAATATTAGTTTTGAAGTATTAACATTTCCCTGTGGAAATAGCATGTACTTTCCTACCAGTGACTTTTGCTCGGTACCAAACTCCATCTTCAAATTTAGCTACACAGGCTTGATCTTGAACTGGACAGAGGATTTCCAGATTTTCCCCATCTTCACTTTTATAGAATTCCTCGATTGTCTTTAATAGTAATAAAAAATCCAGGCCCTCTATCTAAGAAACAGAATGACAAAGCACTGTAGGCTCACAGAAACTTAAAATTTAAATGTTGAGTGAATTACAGGCATTATTCATAAAATTATAAAACATTAAAACTTGAGTTTGACCTAAATCAATTTTGTAATGTAATTTCTTTTACAAATATATTGCCATATAGAAAATTAGTATATATGAACATAAGATCACATTCTGACAGACAGTAACTGTGTATATTCTTCTAAATCTTTCTATAAACATATATGCACTCCCTTGTACACCTGTTTTTACCAGAACTAGACCATACCACACATACAATATAATAACCTGCATTTTTCTATCATCTCTCACTTTTTCTATTTCAGTGAGTGTTCCCACTAGTACTTCTAGACCACATTTGGTTTTCCCTAACTGATCCAAACCAATATCCAGTCCAAGATCACACACTGCTTTGGTTGTTATCTCCATAACTCTTTCATAATCTAGCACAATCCTCTACTTTTAATGACCATGTCTCGTTGCAGAGAGGCAGCTATTTTTCTGCAGAATGCCTCATACCTTACGGATGTATGTGGTTACACCCTCATGTTGTCATTTAGCTTATTCCTTCATTGACTGGGGTGTATCTGCTGAGCTTTCCAAAAGATGAAAGTTATACCTAAATGTTGGCTGGATTGACCCCTGTGCATTGCTGGTAGGAATCTAAAATTGGGTAGCTGCTGTGGAAAATAGTTAGACAGTTCCCCCAAAAAGTTAAACATAGAATTGCTATATAATCCAGCAGTTCTACCCGTAGGTACACACCAAGGGAACTGAAAGCAGGGATACAAATGCATACTTTTATAATAATGTTCATAGCAGCATTATTCATAATGGCCAAAAGGTAGAAACAATCCAAGTGCCCATCAACAGACGAATTAACAAAAATGTGGTACATTCATACATGGAATATTATTCAGTCATAAAAAGGAACAAAACTCTGATATATCCTACAATATAGATGAACCTTGAAAACATTAAGCTTAAATGAAATAAGCCAGAAACAAAAGGAAACATTGTGTATTACTCCACTTATGCGGTACCTAAAACAGGCAGATTCAAAGAGACAAAAAGCAAAATGGAAGTTGTCAGGGGCTGGGGGAGAGGAAATGGGGTGTTATTATCTAATGTTATTGTACAGAGCTTCTGTTTGGAATGAAGAAAAAGCTCTAGAAATGGATAGTGGTGATGGCTCCACAACACTGTTAATGTACTTAATGGCATTGAACTGTATACTTAAAATTTGTTGAAACTGTAAATTTACATTATGCATATTTTACCACAATAAAAAAAGACACTGCAAAAGAGAAACTCAAGTCCTAACTTAGTGCCAGATAAGCAGCCTCCACAACCCCTCTGGGGAGCCAGTACAGCGTGTCGTGGTGCTTGAGACGACAGACTCTGGAGCTACATGACGCAATTCAATCCTGGCTCTACCCTTTCACAGCTGCGTGACCTTAGGCAAGATGCTTCAACCCTGCTGTTAGTGAGAGTCTCCGAACCCAAATGGAGATAACAGTATTTTTCGCACAGGATCATTGTGAAGACTAATGATCAAATCACTTAAAACCTTATGGT